CTCTACAATGGTTAAAATTACCAATGTATGTCACAGAATATAACTTTTTTTTTTATCACATTTAAATAAAAAAAAAAAAATAAGAAATAAAAGTGTGATAGTTATGATTAGATTGCGCATGCCATTTTACATCACATCGCAGCACCGAAAAAAAATAATCCGGCAGGATAAAGTAATCCTTGATTGGGTCCCTCGGTCAAATGATACTAATCATTACTTATCATTATTGTTCAAATCAAACTATATTCTTTATTCTTTCCGAGCAAAATGGAAAAAAGAAAATAAAATAATAAAATAAAAAAGGATCGGAGTTATCGGATTTTTATTTTCTATGTTTATCTTTTTTACGAATGAACCGCAACCATAGTACGAGTTTTGCGGGTCGTGTATGATGAGTTTGATCTGTATAGTTAGATCGCCTTAGATAGTTGAAGTATGATGTGTTGGAAGAGCAGAGTGGATCACTGGCTCACGAGCTTGATGACCTTGAGATACCTGCGATCATAGAACACATGAACTAGGCCTGGGTTGATCCGGTGGAAACCCCTCCGACGCTCAAGTCAGACATGCGGATAATAGAAATAGTTGAGAGAATAAAAATTATAGTATTACTCAGATAATAGGACGTACCTTTAATAAATGAATTATATCGTTATTTATACCTTAGTTGAGATTGTTGAGCCCAAACTTTATTTGAAGGTGATTGAGTCTCGATGGTAGTGGTCTTCAATATTGGACTCGTAGTCCAGTAGGTAAATAAATAAGCCCATTGGGTTGGCCCAATTAGGCATATCAGTATGTATGCAGAGAAACCTTAATAAAGTCTATGACAATTTTGTAAATACACAATGTAAGTTGCAAAATCACACTCGAATACCTCATTTGCATACAAACTAGTGGTGAATAAATATAAATGTATGGAGAATTAAATAATTACCTTATTTTGTTCCAATAATTAGTGTCACACATTAGCTAGCTAGCATGCATGATGTTATGTCATGATGTACAAGCGTGACTACCCAATGCGCAAAAAGTCTTACCAATTTCACTTTTTCCCATTATTTTTTTCATTTTAATTTATCTCCATCTATACTTATTGTTATTTGTATAGGTTATAAATTCATACATATCATTACAATATGATACTTGAATAAGAACAACATGCACCACAACAATTAATTATATCCACTCTCAAGTCATAAATAATGTGATAAAAAAAAAAAAAAACAATCCTATAAAGGACTAAACATCATTGATCACCAATTTTCACCAAGATGAATACTTCTCTTACCACCCTTGAGGTATGGTAAAATTACGAAAAAACCCCTTCTGTTTGGGTGATTACAACAACCCATCTCAATTATAAATTTTCTTACACATTTATCCTTGCGGGTTCAAATTTAGTGGAATCTTCTTGATTATATGGAATATTATCACTTTTGTACACGTTTTATCCCGTTTGAGCTCTACATTTTGAAGCAAGATAATCATAAGATGTGTTTTTTGGCTTGTATATTTATCAGATTGTGGTGCATCAGAAACTGTATTTTTACACAAAACGTATACAAACTAAAACACATTCCACGGAATCTAGATGATTATGTTGAATTTCACACCATAAGGGTGGAGGTGTAAGAAGATTCATAGTGGAGGGGGTGGATGTAATAATTATTCAAACAAGAGGGGGGTTTTCGTAATTTGACCATACCTCAGGGGTGGTTGTAATTTACAAATACATAAATTAATACAGTTGAGACCAGCCAAATTCTATTAACTTAGCGAAATAATTTTTAACATATTGTCCTTAAGTCGGGACCAGGAAAAATATATTATTTAAACAAGGTTATTACCTTATCGATTATCAAATTATCAAGGTTCTACTGTATATGTTATATACCGCTAACACGGCATGCGGTCAAAGTATTGACATATAAAAGCAAAATTCAATAAAGGAGCTAGCTAGGTAAAAAAAAAAAAAATAGTTAATTATACTTGCATTATGCCATGTATCTCTACCTCTATAAATTGAGATGCAAAGCCAAATCTTTTTTCCCCCACACATATCTCTCCATCTCCACACACACACACAGAAAATACTGAGAGAGAAATGATGAACACTAAAGTAGCATACCTGGTGGTTATTTGTGCAGTTCTTGCTGCAGTGGTGGAAGGTGAAGCTGAGGTGGCGGGATCAGCGGCGGTGATGAATTGCAACCCGGTGCAGCTCAGCCCATGCGCGGCGGCAATATCATCCTCCGGCAACCCAACTGGACAATGCTGTGCTAAGATTAAGCAGCAGAGGCCTTGCCTTTGCCAGTACATGAAGAACCCTTTTCTCCAGAAGCTAATCAATTCTCCCGGAGCCAAGAAAGTCGCCGCTTCTTGCGGAACCCCGTTTCCGACATGCTAATATATATACATATATATAATATTATGTATCTATATTATGTATGTATCCTATTTCATATTGGCTGAATTCTATCGTGTTTTGATGTTACTAGCTTGCGTCGATCTCTATCGGTGATTACTACTTGCCGTACGTACTTAGCTATGGTATTCGAGTCTGTTCTTGAATTAATTAATTATTAGTGATGCTTTGTTTTGGGCTTTGTAAACTTGTTATTGTTTATGTTAATGGTTCGATTTCGCATATTATTAATATTACAAGCACTACCCCTCGTAATCTCGAAAGAGACGGGAAAAAAACAATAAAACGAAGGGAGGAAATTGCGAAAGAAACATGGCTTAATTAATATAGTAACATCAATTTCTACAAGAACATGTTCATATATATTCTTTCAAGTTTTACATATACGAGCGATTACCTCGGAAAAAAACGAAAAATAAAATAATAATTAAAAAAAAAAAACAGACCCTTTCAAAATTCACTAGCCTTGTTTTCGGAAAAATTAGAAGTGGGGGCCAATCCAAGCCCTTCGTTGTTGCTGTTATTATTACGGTGTTTTTCCCATCCACCAGTGTCGGCCTTAGAGTGGGCCCAGTAATAAAAAATCGAAGCGAACATGGAAAGCAATGTTAGGGCGGCACCAGCTGCAAATACGCCCTTACGAAGAGTGGTGCAAGATAAGTGCTCTACGTGAAAAGTTGCTCGGTATTTTGTGTGGTATGCATTTCTAGCTGATCCTGCTATTAGGCATGCCTCTGCCCCCACAAAGCTCACCCTGTAAAAAAATTGTTTCGATTTTTATTACAAATGAAATGAAAAATAAAAATAAAAAAATTGAATCAAAATGTCAATGTGTAGAATTAAGTAATGAACGAGGAATTTTTAGAAGTATACAACACACTGTTTTATCAACTCTCGTATACTTGGTCGAATCAATCTTGGAAGGCGTATAAGTATATAAATCGGAACACGTATCACAGAGGTAAATTAGGTAGTATGAACTATGAAATATGAATTTGCGGGAAAAAAATGTTTTAAAAAGATAAGTAACGATCGTTGCGTACAATAACGTATTGAAAATAATAATACAAAATTGACCAAGTTAAAAATTAAAGCTGCTAAGATTGAAATATGCCAAACATAGGACTCATCACTCATTGTACAAAAATAGGATTAGTTGGGCACTCGTAAACATATTTAGTTTAAATTGATTTTCAGGAAAAAAAAAAAAAAAATTGGGCACTCGGGCTCATTAATTTTCGGTTTCCCGATTCTGCGCACTTCTCATGAATCGTATAGTCTAAATTAAATAATTATAGTTCTTTATAGTCTCTTTTAACTTAAACAAGAATCTCTTAAGTTAACAAAAAGTGATGAAAGTAATTACTTACGATACAATGAATTAAGCTTCATACTAAACAGGGAGATAAGCATTTTTCGTACAGTAATAATATGCGCAATATAGCGATCAATTAGAAGAATGTAATACAATATATTGACTGTTATAAAAAAATTACCACCTTCACTTCTAAACTCGTTTGCGTACACATGCAATGTGATACTCACTCTCCAGTAATTCAAAAATCGAAACTTTTTAAAACAAAATAAAACAATCACGGAAACGCCCGTCTGATCTAAATATTCAAGATCCAAACTTGCAAACAGATGTAAAATTATTTCCTTCTAGGAAAGATTTCAAAATTACCGATCATAACATACAATTTATGCACGACGAATTATTAATGATCATGTGTTCATGCTCGAACCTACAAGTAGAAGTACACAGTTGAAGAGTGGACTGAAATAATATTAAATTGTGGGGTAATTGATTCATACAAGATTTTATTGCTTCGAGTTTTATTTATTTATTTATTTCCTTTTTTTTTTGTTGGTTAGATTTCCAGTTAGCATAATAATTGAGCAATTAAATAGGTAAAACCTAACTAAACAAATAAAAAAAAAAAAAAAAAAAAACAGATGAGCAGAAAAGCAAGATCAAAGAACAGAATCAGCAAGAAAAAAATAATAAAGTGGAGAGTAATTAATTACCAAGAGAAAGTGAAGAAAAAAACAGCGAGAGTAGTAGATTTGCCGGCAATCATCCCTCTGCCGAAGCACAAGCACTTGGTAACGCCGTGAATTAACGTCTGTCCGATGAGAAGCAGACCGAACGCCGACAGTCCGTACACCGTCGACGCGTCTGTACCGAACACGCAGTAAGTTCTCTCGTCGTACTCATCCGGCACCACCTTTGCCTTCACAATTACAAATTTAAACAAATTTAATAAATTGAAATAATAAAAAAAAAAAAAAAAAAAAAAAGGGGGCACCGCACCGTGCTACGACGCCGTTCAGCACCGACAGCAAGAACAAAAGCGATAAGGTGAAGGGAGATGGAGATCACGAGAATGGGTACTGAAATTCCCATTTCTGCAGCTCTGTTTTTTTGCTTTTCTTCTTCTTCCCCACTAAATTTACTACTTTTGTTCTTTCAATTATTTGAGTGACTGTGCTTCGAGCTAAGCTTTTGCTGTTTCTTGGACAAAGTAAACCGGGGTTTCTGGCTTTCTTTTGCTTTTTTTTGTTTTTAATATATATTTTTTAATATCAATTTATATTTGATCAAATTACAACGGCCCCTCAGATAAGTTAAATTTACGAAAAAAATCCTCATGTTTGCATAATTACAAACAACCCTCAATTATGTACGAAAAATCCCTCCATTTTGATAAATTTAGGGGCGTTCAAATTGTACAGAAATTACGGTACGCCATAATTTCATACTGTTTAGCCTTTGGTTCGATAAGTAACCTTATTACCAAAATTTTATTAAAAAAAATGTGATTTTTTTAAAATTCATTTTAGTTTAAATACTTTTATATATATATATATATATATATATATATATATATATATATATATATATATATATATATATATATATATATATATATATATATATATATATATATATATATATATATATATATATATATATATATATATATATATAAATTTGACATTGTAAGTGTGGACGTGCAAGACAATACATTGTTGAAAAGTAATTGAAATCACGCAAATAAAAGGGGTTTTCTGTTAATTATACCTTACCTCAAGGGGGTGGCAGCAATTTATTGATAAATCTGTTTTATCCATTGTCGGTGTATCTCTCTATGTTTCTTGTTGCCTTTGCTACTGTCCAATTTTACATTAATATTATGATATTTGTTTTAAGACATACTTTCAAATTATGTTTCAGATAAAAGCAGTGATAGCTTATATTACATGAGTTATTATGTATTATGATGAAGTGATGAACAGATTGAAGATGTACAATGATAACAATAATAATAATAATAATAATACGGTGAAATACTGAAAAAATAAATTAGAACTAAATACCACCAAATTAGTCTAAAATAGTCACACACTAAAGCAAAGATTATAGTTAGTATATACATACACAACATGGGGGCATACTTGATTATAATTTCCTACTATTAAAAAAAAAATCCTCTTAAAATGCAGAAACTGAAGATTAGTACCAACTAAAATAGACCATCAGGACAGAAAAAATATAGCCTGTTCTATGTGAAACATTCCAAAACGAAAACAGAGGGGGGAAAAACGAGATAAACGTTTATACACCTTCATCAATCAAAACTGCTGTTTGTGCCCCCTTTTAAGCAGCAGCTATAAACCACTCACTTTGAATCTTACAACTCGTGTCTCCACCACTAATCAACCATCTGCCAGATTTCTCAATCTTCTTCTTTCACTCGATTCTTCTTCTTAGTCTTCTTTTTTTTTTCTTTTTTCTTTTTTTTTTTTTGGTTTTTTGATTTCCGCATTATATTTTTTCATTACAAGTCACGACAATATCTAAAACGGCACTGCATAGAAGCAGGTTTTCCTCCTCGAACAACAAGGGAGAGACACACACACAATAGGAGGGGAAGTTGTCCTCGAGGTTAATTAATTACCTACGGGAAAAGAAAGAGAAATCTGGGTGATTGACCTGGAGCAAATGTAGCCATTTATCAGCCGCTTGCAAGAGGGAGTTTGCCAGCTGGCGCTGATGCCCCGTATTTGGAGTCCACAGTGACCCTTTGTATTTATACGAGGCCAGCCCAAATACTGGAAGTGAAACATGCGGTACGCCATCACTCTCCGATGGGTATTTCACAATTGAAGGATGCATAACCTCAGTTCCTGCAAAGCATTAAATGCAATAAATAAGATGAGCATGTTTTCAATCTTGCTTACATGTTCATTGAAAAAAAAAGGACAGGGAATAAAGATTCTATGTATACCTGTCATGGGTGTATGAAGAGAATGGAAGGTTAAAAAGCAAGCATCAAGATCTCTAAGAGTTGGACCCGTTGGTATTCTGTAAATGGGATACCTATAAAAAGTATATATTTCAAGATTGTGTCTCAGCACTACGCATAAATCATCAATTTAGATGTTTTTTTTTATTAAATTAAAGTATACCAGGCTACAGAAATCCAACTGGACGGAAGTAGATCACAACTCCTTAGTGTTTTTAGTTCCGGGAAGTGGAGGGCAAGATCAGATATCTGTGGAAGAAACATAATAATTTATTAATTATATTGTACCATAAAATAAAATTTAAGCCAACATGAAATCAAGAATTCACATGATGAAATAGAAAAGTCGACCTTGTTTGCCAAGGGCTCCCTACAATATGGTGGGTCCTGTTCAAGATACTGGAACAACAAGCAACCGTTTGACCTCCCAGGTTCACCTTCATCGCTAGAAAATCCTTCTTGAAATGCCATTTGTTGCTCTCTCAAAGACAACTGATCTACCCTAAGAGAACTATCAATCGCTTGATTCCTAGAGTAATTTGAACCACCTCTTTCTTGTTCACTATCACTGCTTACATCACTACTAGAATCCCTAAAATATTCACCATCACTTTCTTCACCGGGTCTCCTTTCACACAAGAAGGGGAATCAGACTTGGGTTAAGAATGTTTTAACCATCAGCTTCAATAAAGTAATGCAGTAACTAAATACAAAAATGAGGGCGGTAAAAGCTCCATGCATGTGGGTTTATTGAGCACAAATGACATGGATACAATACGAACTCATGTCATTCATAAAGTGTATGTATATTTTAGGGAGAAATGAAAACCCCATCAGTCAAGAGAGTTTATGTTCACCTAACAGAGAAGATGTGTCACTTATTTTCACATTTTAAGAGAGCACAAGTATGCAGTGCAAATTCTATATTGGGTTTAAGCACTGGATGCATAACTGAGGATTAACATATATAGGGGAAAGGCACTTTTTCACACAAAGAAAGGCAAGAAAGAGAGCAGATGACATCACGAAAAACCTTGAATGCACATTATAACCGAAATGCTATAATCTTAATCACAAGATATAAAATTCAATAAACAGTTTCTCAACAACTCTTGGGAACAATCCAAGAGGAAGTTATTAGGCAGCACTCCTTTTGTGGTTTATTTACCCTATAGATCATTCAGATGCCAATAAGAGACTCGGAAACAGGAAATACTTCCACCTGACAGATCTCCAAAGTAAAGATGCTAATAGGCAAAAAGATTATTTTGGCAAAGAATGCACTTGGCAGCACATGCAACAAGTAGAACGGAGAGTGCAAAAAATCAGATCCAGTAACTAGCAAGAACTTATGATAACTAGATTAAGATAGGATAATTAACGACAATATCAAAGTCATCCAAGGTGTGCAGCTTATCGACAAGAAAACACAAATCACAGGCTCAATTTTATAAATTTGATATGCTCATGATATACCACTACCTACTAATTTTATTTTATTTCCAAACAAGAATCGAGCTCACAAACAGTAATGATATTTGTCCCAAATCAAATACCAATATTCATTTTGAGATTCCATGAGGTTTCCTTTGTCTTGAAAAGAAAAACAAGAATCTTTTGCCATTCTTTCTTTTTCTTGCAAGGATTAGTTAGAAAATAAGGACGCGATATGCATGCCAAGTGAATATAAAATTTTGAATGCAAAAGTATGCACAACACTCAAAAGACAGATACCTTAATTTTGATGTACTCTTTGACAGGTTCGCGTACAATTGAATGCCAGATAAATATGGAACATAATACTGAACCACACCATCACGGTCGTGCAACGTCAAAGGCACTCCAACACCGTAGGCACTCCATTCCTTAAACGACTCCCATAAATCACTTAGCACAAAGAAGGGCTGAAATTCCACATCACATGTTCTCCAACTCCTAACTTTCATCTGGAACATTTATCCAATGATTAAAATATGATTTGAGTAAGAAAAAAATAATAAGAGAACTATGAATGAAATTCATATATTTTCAGATTTTCAACAGGCTGGTAGCAAAATAATTAACATCTGAAAGTGCGTATTCTAATACAAAACATACAAGTAACTGTTTCATGCTCAAAAGAAATTGAATAGCTTATCAAAACATTCTCTCTATACATTGTTACACTAGAAAAATCCCATATAATTTAGCCAACAAACACATGTACATAAAACCTCCATGGAAGTTCTCACAAATATCACAAACCAAATATTTACCACAAAGTTGAAAATTCTATGCCATTACTTGCATAAAACCTCCAAATGTTTGATCTTCTTTATCGAGTATAAACCACTTCAAACAAGTATTCAGACAAAAAAGAAAACATTAAAACAATTTTATTAAAAAAGGCAAAGCAGAAACTTAATACCTAATAACTCTAGAAAATAGCTTTAACTACGCCTAAAATCAAAAACAAATAACTCCATAAAATACTGAAATTCACAGACTAGGGTTTTCCCCAAAATATTCATCATCGGTTATAAATCAACTGCCACATCAATAAATAAATCCAGAAAGAAACCTTGGATAAAAATTGCGATGGTACCGAAGGCGTTACTGATTCCAAGAACCTCTCCAGATTACACAAAGGCGAGGATCCCGACACCGACGGCAAAGGCGCGACTTCCGGCTTCGACTTTTCCGGCATCGGCTCATCAAGCCGGCTCCGTGAACGGCTTGGGGTAACGTCACTCTGAGCCCTCCGCAAAAAATCCTGACTCAGGCGAGCCCTCGCCGCGCTGTAAAATCGATCTTCGCCGTTTCTACTCCTATTGAACTGCAACCCCGCCCCCAACATATTTTCCGGCGAAAAAACTAAAACACCAAAACCCCCAAATCTGCAGATGTAATTATTTCAATTTGAATATCAACAAAGCCTCAACCCCCAAACCTATATCCAAAAACCTCGTTCCGTAATATCTATCCGTATAATTCGATAGAGAATGTGGTGATTATCTCAATACCGATGATCAGGAAATGCTGCGCCCTAATATCCGAGATCGAACCCTGATTGTAATCCACGAATTGTTAGGGCAAATTTTTTTTTTTTTTTTTTTTATAATTGGGATCAAATTCTGTTCTGCAAAAAAAGAAAGATAGAGAATGCGCGTTTAGGTGAATGTGTAGAGAGAGAAAGAGAGGGTGAAGAAAATGGGTAGTGACTTAATGGAGGGAAATGTTTATTTTATTATTGCCTTTTTGGAGATGAAAAGACGCATTTGCCACCGCTTCAATTTTCAATACTTCCATTAATCGCACTCTTTTACTAATAAATTGCTATTAATGTTTAGTGAGTGTACCCATCAAATCAATCAATATATTTAGGATAAATTACGGCCAACTCCTCAAATTACGAAAACAATTACTCATGTTTACGTAATTACAATAACCCCTCAGTTATGAATCTTCTTAAATTTAGTGGAATTTTCTAGATTGAGAAGAATATTCTTCATTTTGTACTCGTCTTACCCCATTCGCGCTCCATGTTAAGGGTGGACGACGTGTAAGAAAAATTATAGTTGAGGCCTGAAGGGTGATTGTAATAATTATCTGAGGATTTTGTTCTTAATTTGACCTTACCTCTGGCGGTGGTTGTGCTAGGAAAATCATATACCCGTTGTTCGGTTATTTTTAAGATACACATGTTGAAGGTTACACTGGGTGAATTTTTACAACTGATCTACACACAACAATGTAGGTGTTGTGTGTTGTGCATATATGAATGGTAATTGGTAAAGATCTACTCGGGGTATTTCATCAGGTATAATATAGTAAACCCTTTGTTCAATAAACATATTTTATCTCGACAATATACTTTTCTTAAAAGTTAAAACTTTTATCGAGCGAAATTAAACATACGTACCTCAAACTTGTATATAAATTCCAATGAATTGGTATATTGTTGATGTGCAAACGTAGTCCCATATCGAGTTTACTATGGGTAAAATCGTTGATTTATAAGAAGGGAATAACAAGTCTATTGGTATGAAGTCTTTTCAAAAAATACAAGATTAAAATCAGTTGGGCGTGACCCAATTGGATATATCATACCAATGTGGTGTTTGTGTTATCCCGTGAGCCCAACTTACCGACAGGGCATCCAAGGGTATATTAGGCTTTTCGTAAATGTCTTCTCCTATATTTGATCAAAATGAAGGAAATTAGTAGCTAGCTTGGTCAAAAAACAGGCTCTTCTGGTATAATTGCTAGTGAATTCGTTAATTACTAGCTTGGTCAAAAACATACTAATAAGTTGGTTTATATAATATATAGATTGAAAATGCAATCGAATAAAATGAATATTCCCAATATGATATTGACTGTATATTACTACAATTGCACGTATTTCATGTCACTCAACGATCCCTTCACTAAGTCAAAAATTTTCTATTGGCTGTGTACGGATTTTGAATGATGAATATTAATTATTATAATTTATAGGTGCTTCACCATATTCTATTTCATAAATTCAGAAATATATGGGGATTTTACGAAAATAATATATTGTCTATTGTGGCCAAAATACTGAGTTCATTAATTTTGAATTATCACTCAATTAATTAAGAGTGATAATTGTAAAATTGTGAAATTAGATATTGTAGCATTGACAATAACGATGTCGGTAGATTATTTATAGTTAAATTCGTAAAATACTTAAAAGATAATAACTCTAAGTTGTATTAAAGACCCTAGTGGGCCTATACTTCTAAACCAATTGCATTGACCCATTAACTTATTTATTTATTTTAACTAGTTGTATATTTGTTTTTATAATGGAGGAATCTGTAGCCAATTATATAAGTTTATCCACTCTTGTAGAATAGTTTTCAAATTATGTGAAAAACATAAATTACACTAGACTAACCATGTGTGATAAGTTTTGCCTAACAATTATTGGCAAATAAATTCGAATTTAACTTTATTTGAGCCGGATAAACAAAATTAAATTAAATATTGCATACACATTTCAATATTTATGCGAGTCTGAATAAAAACGTCAAAATGTGACCCATCACATTCTATGTATAAGTGTTTTATATTATATTTTTGTTATATTCATTATATCATCTTGTGCAATTACATCCTTACTCGAATTAATTGAAAATAATTTGAGAAATTAAACTTTAGTTATATCTGATAATGCTAGAATTAGATCACCTAAGTTGGAATAGCAAGATGGATCACTGATTCACCAACTTGATAATTTTGAGATACATGCGATCATAGAACACGTAAACTAAGTCGGGGTTTAATCTCGTCGAAAACCTCTGACGCTCAAGTCAGGTGTGTGGCTAGCAAAAGTTATAAAAAAAATATTGGGAATTTAATAATTCAATAAAGAAATTTACTGCAGAAACTGGTCGGCTCGGCTGAATGTGTTAGCCGACCACCCGAATTATGAAAACATTATCGGATGACTAAGCACGAACGTGATTGGTTGTTTAAGGATTTAGTCAAAACAAAATATGTCGTGTGAGGAATCAGTAAGCATGACACGTGTACGGCTAGATGTCAGTGAGTGGTGTTCTTATCTGCATCCCTGTCCCGATGGGATTGGAGGTCGCGTGTAGTCACGCGGTTTGAGTGAGGGCGGTGGCGCATTGCAGGGTGATTTTGTCCCCACGTTTGGGTCATTTCAGTCTCATGTCTGTGTGAGGAGCACGTGCACTAACAATTGTGTCTTTTGGTACATATCTTTGTCTTCACGCTCTTCTAGGAGCGTCAACTTGAGTTGTTGTAGCTTAAAATAAATCTTTGATTAATTTTGTAGTGGAATTAAATTATGTTTACCTAATGCAATTGGAATTTTCTATATTAAAAAAACCAAAAAAAAAAACAAAAAACAAATTGTTATTAAATAAAACTAGAAGTTAGTCTAAACGGACAAATTTATCCATAAAATGAATTTAAAAAAGAAAGAAAATTAGGAATAATAAGTAAAATATATTTATTAAGTAATTAGAGAAGTGCGTTTAAATTGGATAAGCAGTTCTATGGGTACTTCTCAGATTACGACTTAAACTGCTTATTTTTACACAAATATTGCAAACACTAAAAAACTGATTATGAGGAGGAAAAAAACTTATAATCACTTTGCGAAAGCTTTTACAAATACTATTTTCGTCAACTACAATTAACTTCGTGGAATTTTCATTTGACAAAGTGTGCATGTAGTCATTTATTCCACCTTCCATGGGTTTAACCATTTAATTCAATCCATACATTAATTTCAATTAACTTGCATACTTATTAATAAACTATACTCAAAATTTCACCAAATTTAGGTAATTTATAACTATCTCTTCAATTACGTAAAAATATATACCCAAAATTCGAAATACAATATGAGTTGATCATTGGTCAAAAACTACAAAGCTCGATAATATATGAGTTTTGAACTTCTGATCGTGAATATCGATAGTATTTGAATTTGAGTTTATTAAAGTTCGATTCATATTACGAAAGTTGTACCCAATTAAGCTAAGGGCTTATAGCTTAGTCTTGCATTTTGATTTATGGATTATCGTTGGTTAGTCCAGTCTTAATTGATCAGCTAATTAAGTGGATTAATTAGTAGGTTAATAATTCATGCCAATTAGCAAGTAATTAGGCATGACCAAATAATTAAGAATTATATAATTATACCTCTTCAAGTCACAAATCGCCGCTTCCACATGAAGAGGGACCAGTTGACAAGTTGACATGTGAAGCAATAACTGCAGATTGAATCGAAAATGCCAATAGGCAACCAAATTATCAAGTGTATATTCAGTTTGGTATAAATTAATTAGGCATGTAATAATTAATAATTAATCAATTAATTATGTTTTGGAATATTATTAATTAATTACATCTTATGTCCTAGGTTTGTTCCACCTACACTTGTGGAAACTTGTCAAGTATGTATGTATATTTGTAAAGTGGTTACATAATATAATTGCAGAAATTAAATTATAATTACTTAAATTAAATATATAATTCTGATGTGCCTAATTCTTAATTGGGTTTTTGGTCTAAAAGGCCAAATCAATCCAATTAATAATAAAAGCCCAATTATCACATCTACTAAAATTCAATAGGATTTTAGTTATAACATATTGTCCCACATCGGATTTCTACAAGAAGTCTCCATATTCCATCACCTATAAATATGTGATTTAACTCATATAATAAGGTAAGCACTATTTAGGCAATTAATTAATATTATTTGCTTATATTGTGATAGTTTTCTGACTTGAGCGTCGGAGGACAATCGCCGGGCCACCCCCGGCGTGTCACCTAGTGTTTTCAACTGTTTTGTAGGTGAACGAGTGGAGCGATCCCTTCGACTACCTCGGACGCGTGGCAAGAACTCTTGGCATTCCCGATATTGGGCTTGAAGATTCCCGGACTTAGGAGACCTGTGGGCTTCAAGACCATTGGGCTGACCCAATATTTTGGAGCAGCATCATTTTGGCGCCGTCTGTGGGAAGGCAAACTAGATCGCGTGTCATGAACGGAGGTGGTCAAGGCGACCTCAACCAGCTTCCTTGAGGAAGAGACGGAGTCTCAGAGCCGCCCCGAGGAGCGGAAGAGTCTTAGAGCCGCCTCGAGGAAACGACGGAGTCTCAGAGCCGCCTCGAAGAGCGGAAGAGTCCCCGAAGAGCGGAAGAGTCTTAGAGCCGCCCGCCTCGAGGAAGCGACGAAGTTTCAGAGCCGCCCCGAAGAGCGGAAGAGTCTTAGAGCCGCCCGCCTCGAGGAAGCGACGGAGTCTCAGAGCCGCCCCGAAGAGCGGAAGAGTCTTAGAGCCGCCCGCCTCGAGGAAGCGACGAAGTTTCAGAGCCGCTCCGAAGAGCGGAAGAGTCTATGAGCCGCCCGCCTCGAGGAAGCGACGAAGTTTCAGAGCCGCCCCGAAGAGCGGAAGAGTCTTAGAGCCGCCCGCCTCGAGGAAGCGACGGAGTCTCAGAGCCGCCCCGAAGAGCGGAAGAGTCTTAGAGCCGCCCGCCTCGAGGAAGCGACGAAGTTTCAGAGCCGCTCCGAAGAGCGGAAGAGTCTATGAGCCGCCCGCCTCGAGGAAGCGACGAAGTTTCAGAGCCGCCCCGAAGAGCGGAAGAGTCTTAGAGCCGCCCGCCTCGAGGAAGCGACGGAGTCTCAGAGCCGCCCCGAAGAGCGGAAGAGTCTTAGAGCCGCCCGCCTCGAGGAAGCGACGGAGTCTCAGAGCCGCCCCGAAGAGCGGAAGAGTCTTAGAGCCGCCCGCCTCGAGGAAGCGACGGAGTCTCAGAGCCGCCTCGAAGAGCGGATGAGTCTTAGAGCCGCCTCGAGGAAGCGACGGAGTCTCAGAGCTGCCTCGAAGAGCGGAGGAGTCTTAGAGCCGCCCGCCTCGAGGAAGCGACGGAGTCTCGGAGCCGCCCGAAAAGCGGTAGAGTCTTAGAGCCGCCTCGAACCAAAAGAATTACGGGAGCGGCCAACGAAGGTGGTCAAGACGATCTCAACCAACCGCTTCAAGGTAACGCTGGAGTCATAGAGCCGCCTCGAAGGGAGAGAACGATGGGAGCGGCCAACCTTGTGGGATCTTCAGCGCCGGTCATTTAGATGACTGCAGAGGAATTACAAGCCTTAAAAGAGTATCGCTCGACAGCCAAAGTTATTTCTCTGAACGAGCTCCTCGAAGAGGCTCACCACCACTCGCCTCAGTGTAGCGCATCCTCAGATCGTGAGCCTCGAAGATACGCTCGCCACCAATCGCCTCATCACAACCCATCATCGAACCGCCCCCTTCGAAGAGAAGCTCACCGCCGGTCGCCACGCCCCTTGAGGCAGAGGGCTCCTCCAAGGGAGAGAGCGGCGCATAGCCGTCGAGAGAGTAGTGTTTCTTGTCGGCCGGGTGTGGCACGCCACGAATCACGATACGACAGGAATAACGAGCGCTCATTTCGCCATAGAGACTCTATTGGAAATAAATTTGGAAGTAGATATTCCCAATCTGAGTCGTGATGGCATTGATGACCGTAACTCAAGGAGACCTCGACTAAAAGCTTCGAGGCCAACGACCGCTCGTTTTGAAACATTCCCCGCTCGAATAAGCCCATTTGTTCCTGCCATTATGGAAGAAGTCTTACCTCTCGGATTTAGGATCCCCAATCTACCCCAATTTGACGGGACCGGAGATCCCCAAGAACATTTAAATAACTTTTACGCCAAGCTTGACCTCTACGGCCTCAGTAACGCAGCTTACTGCAAGATTTTTCAGACTACGCTGACTGATCAAGCACAAGTTTGGTTCAACGGCTTGCCCGGAGGGTCCTTAGACAATCTGGACCAACTAGCGACACATTTCCTTAACCACGACTCAAGGAATAAGAAATATGCCAAAACTGGATCGTATCTCTTCAAGGTCATACAACGAGACGGAGAGCCACTCAGAGATTACATACAACGATTTGTCAAAGCTGTACATGAAGTGCGCCACGTTACTCACAAGATGTTAGCCGGCATACTACAACAAAATTTGAAGCATGTTCGTTTTCGAGAGTCCATCGCGGGCCGACCCCCTAAGACCCTAGAGGAGCTCTTGAATCACACTGAGAAGTACGTTCGGATTGAGGAAACTGCAGACATGAGGGTACCCCTTAAGCGAAAACGCGATGATGGAAGCCATAACTATAATAGAAAAAAAGAGAGGCATCCCGCCAAAAATCGCACATCCGAGAAGTTCTCACCTCTCAAGATAAGCTTGTTGACACGATGATCATCGCCGAGCAGAAATAAATTCTACAACCACCGAGATGGATGAAGGAGAATCCAAAACGACAAAATTCGGATGATTACTGTGAATACCACAGAGCTCGAGGTCACACTCTTGACGAGTGTTTTCAGCTTATGCGAGCGCTCGGAAGACTTGTCCAAAACGGGCACTTGAGAGAATTCCTAGAACAATCGCAATCCTGAAGAAATGCTTTACTTAGTATTTACTATTGTCCCATGCGGGCCCCATGTAATTTATTTTCAGCAATAAGTCGGTGGCATACCGCCCCGCACAATATTTTCAAGGCATACCGCCAGTCGCATGATTCTTAATAAAATATTTTAGTCGGTGGGATATCGCCACCATGATTTCTACATCAACAATTTGTCTTCTCTACGCGTTTTCGTTCAAGACATCTACAATAGATTTAACAAAAAGTCAATAGACTCAAAAAATAGCTAAAGAAAAAGATATCAAGGATCACAAAGGGTCTGGCCAACCCGAACCTTGGTTTCTCACTCCCCAAAGCTCCAAAAAATAGAGCAACTAAAGCTCCGGGGAGTCTTACCCGCCCTTAAAAACTTAGGTAAACGGTCAGACTTCCTACATGAAAAACTTGAGGGTCTGATCAACCACCAAGTGTAAAAATACGGACTTCCCACTAGGCGTTAAAGCCAAGGGATACCGTCTTACCTAAAAAGATAAAGTAAAAGCTTATTCTTTACGAGAGTCGAGCCTCCCACTAGGCTATATAACTAAGGGATACCGTCTCACCGAAAAAGAAGAAGCATAACTCATTCTTTACAAAAATACGGACTTCCCACTAGGCGTTAAAGCCAACGGATACCGTCTTACCAAAAAAGATAAAGTAAG